AAAATTTAAAAGCTTGTCAATACACTCCTCCAGCCAGGCTACAAAACAAACAGGCTCCTGCACTGCTGGAAAAAATGCAAACTGGTACAACTCCTGTGGAAGAGTTGGCAATATCTAAGAATATTCCAGATAGAGTTTACCCATCAGTCTGGCAGTCTTATTTCTTTCTTTTAAAAAATATTTTTATTGATTTCAGAGAGGAAGGAAGAGGGAGAGAGAGGAACATCAATGAGAATCATTGATGGGCTGCCTCCTGCATGCCCCCCACTGGGGATAGAGCCCCACAACCTGGGCATGTGCCCTTGACCAGAATCAAACCCAGGACCCTTCAGTCCGCAGGCCGACACTCTATCCACTGAGCCAAACCAGCTAGGGCACAACCTCATTTCTTAGAATTTACCCTGAAGATTCACCTCCAACAAGATGAAAATAAACATGCACATGGTTTTTATTACAGTATTATTTAAGTTGCAAAATATCAGAATCTATCTGAGTGTCTAAATATAAGAATGTGGTAAAATAGTGGCATAGCTTTAAGTGGAGTACTATGCAAGCTGTAAAAAAGAATGAGCACAATCTCACAATCTGGTATGGAGCAATTCCCAGGATCCAATTGAAAAGAGCAAAGTGCAAAAAATATATAGAGGATGTAACCTTCTGTCTAAGGCAAAAGGGAAGATAAGAAACCATATGTAAATAGTGCCCTGGGTGGTCCCAGATCTCTCTGCTTCAACAGTGTTTGGACAGAACAGACCCAGGGATGCCCCTTCTTCCAGCCTCTGGCCACTCTCCAGCATCTTATCTAGTCACCACCTTCAGAACCACCTCCGGGACCCACAAACACACCAGGTTTTTTTCTATCTTAACTCCTTATTGCCGAACAGCCATGAGCTCCCAAATCCGTCAGAATTATTCCACTGAGGTGGAGGCTGCGGTCAACCACTTGGCCAACCTGCATTTGCGGGCCTCCCACACCCACCTCTCTCTGGGCTTGTTTCCATCCAACAGTGTGGCTCTGGAGGGCGGAGTCCACTTCTTCCAGGAGTTGGCACAGAAGAAGCGCGAGGGCATTGAGCATCTCTTAAAGATGCAAAACCAGTGAGGTGGCCGCATTCTCTCCAGGTCGTGCTGAAGCCTCTCCACAGTGAGTGGGTGAAACTCAGGCCGCCATGGAAGCCGCCCTGGCCCTGGAGAGGAACCTGAGCCAGGCCCTCTTGGAGCTGCAGACCCTCAGCTCTGGGACTTCCGGGAGAACAACTTCCGGGATGAGCAGGTGAAACTCATCAAGAAGCTGGGCCACACCTGACTCACCTCCGCAGACTGCAGGCCCCCAGGCTGGGCTGGGAGAGGATCTCTTCTTCCAAAGGCTCACCCTCCAGCATGACTAGGAGCCTGTGGAGCCCAGAGGCCTCTGAGGGGCCCCTCTGCATTCCCCTGGTATCTAGCTTTTGCCTGAGCCTCTCCCCAAAACTACTAGCCATTCTTTTAACCACCCTGAAGCCCTTTCCCATGCATTGTACCAAATGGAAATAAAGTTTTTCCAGCAAAAAAACAACATACATATACCTGCTTGTCTTTACTAAAAGAAACACAGCCAGGTGAAGCCAGAAGTTGGTCACCTACAAGGAATGGGAGGGAATGGTGTTGAATGGATATGGGAGGAAGGGAGTGACACTCGTCTAAGCATATCTTTCTGTATAGTTTTGATTTGTGGAAGTATGTGAATGTTCTACATATTCAAAAATCAAATCAAGCCCTGTTTGGGTAGCTCAGTTGGTTAGAGCATCATCCCAATATGCCAAAGTTGCAGGTTTGATCTTCAGTCAGGACACATACAAGAATCAATCGATGAATGAATAAATAGGTGGAACAACAAATCTCTCTCTCTCAGATCAATAATTTTTAAAAAATCAAATCAATAAAGATGGGAAAGAGAAACAAGCTAAAACTGAAAGCAAATTGAAAAAAAATATTTCAAATGAACAATGGAAGCACATTATGGGGGTTGGGAGTAGGGAGAATAATCCAAGTAGTGTATGAACACAGTACTTATCTATATACCTTCTGTCTTTGGGAGGGAGTCAGAGAACTGCAAACAAGTCCTGAACTATCCTCCTATATAATAAAAGGGTAATATGTAAATTGACCAGATGACCAGTCGCTATGATGCGCAATGATCACCAGGGGGCAGACACTCAACGCAGGAGCTGCCCCCTGGTGGTAGCTCAGCCAGAAACTGAGCTAATGGCTGGCGAGCACAGTGGCAGTGGTGGGAGCCTCTCACGCCTCTGAGGCAGTGCTAAGAAGCAGCAAGCTGAGTGGTAAGGAGCAGTGAGCAGGCAGGTGGTAAGGAGCAAGGGGTCCCGGACTGAGAGAGGGCGCAAGCTGGGCTGAGGGATGCACCCCCCCCCCCGGTGCAGAATTTCATGCACTGGGCCTCTAGTTTTTAATAGGTTTGTTTACTGTAGTGGTATGAGGGAAGCAACTCTGAAACTATGTCACATGTGCTGTGGCATTGAGCAAATCTATATATATAAAAGGCTAAGACGCAAAGTATCCCCTCAAAGTTCGATCACTCGCTATGACGTGTGCTGACCACCAGGGGGTGGCGCAGAACATGGCGGGCAACCAGTGGCGGTGGAGGGAGCGAAGGAAAGAGGTGGGGAGGCAGGGAACCTAATCGGCCCTGATTGCCGGCCAGGCCTAGGGACCCGACCTGTGCAACTATTTCGTGCACCGGGCCTCTAGTGAGTAAATAATCAAGATATTGTTGGGAGCCAGAGCCCTCACTGTGAAAGAAGGGACAAAAAAATAAGAAACAGGTAAGGCAAGGAAGGACCCTCTGGGAACTGATGGGAGGTATCAGTGTGACCTCAGGATTTCTAAAACATGTATGTATATATGTGTGTGTGTGTGTTTCCTAGTTATGGCTGCAAAGACAAACCAGTAGCAATGGACACCAGTGTTCAAATCTTGGTCTCGCACATCCTTCCCCACTAAAAGGAACCAGGGCTCCTTAAAGAAATGACTGATTTCAAGGGTGTAAAAGGGAATTCCCAAGATGAGCCTGGAGCACCTTGTTATGCCACAAAGTAAGAAGTGCTAAAAATAATCATGGGGGCATAGCGAGGATATAGCAATCAGCTTAAAGGGGGTCCCACTGGCCAAAGCTAGGATGGGGCCTGGGAATCTGCACTTATAACAAGATTGCTGGTGATGATGATGCTGAAGCTGCTGGCTCGGGACTACACTTTGAGAACCACTATGCAAAGGTCAAGAAAAAGACTGTGAAAAACTTAAAGTTGGCCCTAGCTGGTCTGGCTCAGTGGATAGAGTGTCAGCCTATGGACTGAAGGGTCCCGGGTTCGATTCCAGTCAAGGGCACATGCCCGGGTTGCAGGCTGGATCCCCAGTAGGGGGTGTGCCGAAGGCAGTCAATCAATGATTCTCATCATTGATGTTTCTACCTCTCTCTCCCTCTCCCTTCTCCTCTGAAATCAATAAAAATATATATTTATATTAAAAAAAACTTAAAGTTGGTCTCTAGGGTTTTTCCTATATCATATACAATCTTAGACATTAATACTTGTCATAACACTTAGTCTTGGTCCCACTTTCCCTCCCCCATGTACTAATTAATCAATGTGTGTGAATTTTTCTTTGTCAAGATTAATTATTTACATTCCATTCTACAACTATAACTCGTTTTAAAATCTCAGTTTTGTATTTTAATGGACTCAGAGCTCCTAACCATGATCCTAACCATTCCTTTTACTAGAACTTTTGAGAAACCTGGCCCCTCTCTTCTGGGTTCCAAAATGTCCGGAACAGGGGTTGACTGGACCCAGTCAAAGGTGTACCTTACCCTTCAGATTTTGGCATCCGCAGATGGGCACTGTGACCTGACCTGACCTGGAAAGTGCCTCCTCCTGGGGGATCTCCCCCAGCTGCACTGAGGTCCTGAGAAGGTAGCAAAGACTTCATCTTCCCAAGTGCTTTCCATGACTCTCCACATGGCCTTGTGTCCATACTTGGGCCCGTCCTCACCAAAATGTTGTCAATTGCGTTTCTTTACTCAGTGCTTCTAAGGAGATTGGGGAGGTTTTGTTGCATTAGCATCTTCTCCCCTTACCTTATCATTAGCATCTTCTCCCCTTATCTTCCTTGTTTGGTTGCTGCAGAAATTGTGGCTGCTGCTTATTGAGTTGGCTATTTAATGGAGAAGGAGAGTTTCTAGTCCAGCCTTATTTCTCCTTCTTGGATTGGAAAATATCTCCAGACTTAAAAAAAAAACTATTGAAAAATATAGGGTTTATTGGGTAAAATGTGCTCCATATTATGCATCTACATAATTGTTATAATGTAAATATAATTTTTTCTAATAGCAAAAAAGTATATTCCCAAATATTTATAGTAGTTTTCACTGTGATAAAATTAGGGATGATTTTTAAAAATATATTTTTATTGATTTCAGAGAGAAAGGGAGAGGGAGAGAGAGATAGAAACATCATGATGAGAATCATGGATCAGCTGCCTCCTGCAAGTCCCCCAGTGGGGATTGAGCCCACAACCTGGGCATGTGCCCTTGACCGGAATCAAACCTGGGACCTTTTAGTTCGCAGGCCGACGCTTCTATCCACTGAGCCAAACAGGATAGGGCAGGGGTGATTTTTTAATTGAAATTTATATTGAGATAATTACAGATTTACATGTAGCTATAAGAAATAATACATGCCCAGGTGGTGTGGCTCAGTAGTTGAGTGTCGACCTATGAACCAGGAGGTCACAATTTGATTCCTGGTCAGGGCACATGATCGGGTTTTGGGCTCAGTCCCCAGTGGGGGGCATGTAGGAGGCAGCCAATCGTTGATTCTCTCTCATCATTGATGTTTCTCTCTCTCTCTACCTCTCCCTTCCTCTCTGAAATCAATAAGAATTTTTTTAAAAACAAAAAATTTAAATTAATGTTCTCACAAACTGGCAAGTAACTTCTTCAAGCATAAGGAACAACAATTTTTTATTTTGTTACCAATAAACATTTCACAAACTTCAACTGGGAATGTAGAGGTACTAATAAGCAGAACACAGAAAACATAAAGAAATAAGATATTAAAGCCTAAAATATCATTTATAATCCCATCCATTCTATCTTATACATAGTAGATATTCGATACAACTGAACTTAAAATAGTTTGTAATATGTGCTTGCAAAATGTGTAATGCTGTAGTAGTAAAGTACAATTTCCAAATATGAGACTTCGTCAAAATTTTTAAAAGCCTTTAAAAATATGATATGCACAAGCTTGCCCTGAGGGAAAGTAACATGAAATATAGATTACAAAATCTTCACATATTTTTCACAATAGCATTTTAAAACCCTAAAACAGCCAACAGTTATGGAAAAAACTGAATGAACCAATTGCTAAAAATTCAGTGCACTCATAACTACCTGATAGAATATTTGGAAGCACCTTTTCTCTCGCCTTCTTAGATCATAATATGAAATGTATGAATTATATAGGCCTTAAGCCTCAGAAACTTAAGAAAACTTCAAGTTATAAGTCAAAATATCACCAGGAAACAAATCTGGTATAAAATTTGCTACCATAAGGCCACTGTTTAAAGTTCTTTCATGTACAGACACTATACAATTCAGATACTTTTGTTTTTTATTACATAAGCAAAACTTTCAACATGTAAACATTTGAATATAACTCAGTTAAGTTCCCTATGAAACCATGCTCAGAGAAAAATTCAACAAATAATGCCCTTTTGAGACTTTTTGCAAAAGAAACTGTAGTAAATACAGCTTTTCAATTAAATACTTTAAAAGCAAGTAAGTGTACAAAAATGCAGCATTCCACTACAAAAAAATAGTTCTTTTATCAAGAAAGTTACAGTATTAGTGCTTTATTGTCAATTATAACACCTGACAGAGATGCTCTCAAATGTTCTGTAGTGTTGATTCCATTTGCAACAATTCCCCGTTAAACTGCTGTGCCAATGTTTGCATATTCCTATTGAAAGAAAACAAAATACAGACTTCAAAAGAAGCATCAGGTATAACATCTGAGCTAGAGTTTTGTTCACATTGCAATTTATAAAATAGTTTAATTTATATAGTACTACTTGCATCCTAGATCCCCACAAAGGTATGTAGATATTGGAACCCCAAACACGCAAAGTAACAACAGCACACATCAAAGTGGGTATCGAATGATGTCAGTAGGACAAAGAAAATACATGGCACTCAACGCACTGCTACTAGTAAGTCAATGGGAATGGTATTGGGGACATCCCTGGCAAAAAAATAAATAAAAAATAGCGGCTCTTAAACTTTATTCCTTTAAGTACAGAGCCTGATTTGACACATGCAAAACTTCAAACTGGTATTTTATCTTTGTCATCATATGGTATCTAATTCTAAAATAATATGAACTCTTCTAGCTTGGCTGATATCAGTACAGGAAGCTATTGGGGGGAAGCTTTCTTGCTTCTGGATGGTTACCGACAACATAAATATATGTAAGTCTTCAAAAAACACAGAAAAAGAAATCCACAAGAACAGTAAGACTATGATTAAAGGGTAATGACCATAGATTCTATACTGTGAAGCTATGTAAAATATTAAATTACCAACCATGAACTGGACATAAGACCATGCAACTAATAGAAGAGCAAAAATGGCAGAATGGCATGTTTTTATGGGCCATTAAAAATATTAATACATATATGCTTACCTTTTACTAGGATCTTACAAGATTAAAACTGAAAGAAATTTAAAAGTTGGTTTATTTTTTGGCATTTATATTAGTATGCAAATGTTTAATTGCAAACAAAAACAGTACTGATAGAAAACTCTTATTCTTCTATTTTGGTTAATGAAATATTCAAGATACATGTATATATACTTTGTCAACATTATTCCATTAAATAGAGGTAGATTTCATTGTATCCTATATCTTTATTCAAATATACAAAATTATAATATATAAAAACAACTTTAAAGAAAACTATAATAATTCTCAAAGTTTTTTCAACTGAAACACCTTGTTTATAAAATGTACAATTAGCTCTGGCTAGTGACAGTGTGCTCAGTGGTTAGTGTCAGCCCAAGCACCAAAGGGTCACAGGTTCGATTCCAGGTCAAGGGAATGTACCTGGGTTGCAGGTTCAATCCCCTGCCCGAGTCGGGGTTTGTGCGGGAGGCAAAGAATTGATGTGTCTCACATCGAAGTTTTTTCTCTCTTCCTCTTCTTCCCCCTCCCTCCCACTCGCTCTAAAAAAAAAAAGTGGAAAAAATATCCTCAGTGAGG